AATATGTGAGGACAGTAATTATTTGAGGGCACCTCGAATAAATACCGTGAGGACTTATATATTCAAGACTAGAATGAATATTGCTCTCTTGTAAAAGTGATGTTGTGTTACACAAAAATGTATGTAGTCTTTGACTTACACTAGAGGGAGATGGACTATACTATATGGAGGGGTTCGATAAAACACGTTATGTTTGTAGGTTTGGATGACTTTTCCAAAATAGTCAGTGATACCATCTTTGAAGTGGCACATTTATGCCTTTATAGACATGACCTCTATAAACAATTGATCACTCAAAATCGATATGTCACTGTACTAGTTTAAGTGAGAAATAGTTACCCTCAGACCTATGGACTTTCATGTTATATCTTAGGTCGGTAATATTGGAAAATAGAGGATGTATTTTTAAAATTCGAAACCATCCCAAAACTCATCATTTGCAGTCCAAGAAAAAATCAAAACAATCCAAGCAAGGTATGTTAGACCTGGCGCAGTACGGGTCTACCCATGTAAAAGAGTACAAATTATCTTTACACATTAGTTTACAGTATGAAAAAGTCCATAATTAAAATAAAATATTAAAAATAGTTTATAGTTGAAAGGTCCAGTAAAAATTATAACCAAATACAATACAGTAACCCACTACTGGATTCAAACCACCTTTTAACAAAAGATTAGTTAGTTTTGGTTCCATGGAGACAAAAAATTCAACTATCTCTGTCTCCTAGAAACAAAATCATTTTCTTTTGAACATTTGACAGTAACAGATCACTTTTACAATGTTCAACGTAAAAAGATTAGTGTGTGGTATAGGCGCTGTATCGACTTGGTGGTTCGTCACCCGGAATTTTAAGTTTAAGTAGAACATTCTGTCAATGATTAAATTTAAATGTTTAATGATTTTTTAAATGGTAGTCCGATTCTTCATTACGTACTAGGTAATCTCCATTGTCTACTGTATCAGCCTTCAAATGAATAACTATTTAATTACGTACTATTTGGTGACATACTATCAAAATGCGTATCATGTCTAGCTCTATCCAGTTTGTAGCAGCTCGCAGCTACAGCTCTATCCAGTTTGTAGCAGCTCGCAGCTACAGCTCTATCCAGTTTGTAGCAGCTCGCAGCTACAGCTCTATCCAGTTTGTAGCAGATCGCAGCTACAGCTCAATCCAGTTTGTAGCAGCTCCTAGCTAGAGCTCTATCATTGACTATATATACTGTATATAGTCAATGGCTCTATCCAGTTTGTAACAGCTCGCAGGCTATATCATGTTTTAGCAGATCGCAGCATTGAGCATTTCGTGTTTTACCTGCGTGTGTCAACTAGTTTTGTTATCATTGTTGACCTATTTGACACGCTGTTTTGCTGCTTGGTGGTGAATTGGAGATGCGAAACCCTCGAAGAGTCTTATCTTATTGCACTTCCACTTTAGTTTATTTTACATAAATAATATGTTTTGAAACTGTACTGTGGCTATCATATATTAATTATACAGGGTGGCTAACTTAAAGTGGACCAATAGCTAACTTGTTATTATGAGATATACTGTAGAGCTAACTTCTTATGGGCGTAGAATAAAATGGATAGGAGGACAGGATGCAACTAAGACTGCATACTGTGCCTTAGAGTCCCACATAAGATATGGATTAGTGGTCTGGAAGGGGGGGAACCACAGATCAGAACCCTACAACAATACTGCGACTTCAGAAAAAAGCTATAAGAACACTAGATTATCTCAGCCCTACAGAAAGCTGCAGGGAAGCTTATATAAATCACTAAAAATCATGACTGTGATCATTATACATCCTTGCAGTGATTAACTATACTGAACAGATTGAGCTTACAAGAGGGAAAGATTCTCACTCTCACAACACTCGAAGAGCTACAGACTACCTTCTACCAGCTCACCATACAATTCAATACTGCAGGAAGCCTGCCTACATGGAACGAAAGGTCTTCAATAGCCTGCCCAACCACTTGAAGATCTTAAGAAATCAAAACTTGAAGAGGAAACTCAAAGACTGGCTAATGGATCAACCATTCTACTCTCTAAAGGAATTCTTTGTTCAAATTTACTAAGCAAGATGAAAATTCAAATAACAATCACTATATGTATATGACACTATTGTATTTCTTAAGGAAATCTCAATAAAGAAAATTGATTGATTGGTTGATTGGTTAAGTAAATACCCAAGCGAAAACTCTTTGTTATCACTGGTGATTTTAATATAGATATTCTTAGCATAAGTGACTGTGTAACCAGACAGTTTCAGGACATCCTCAGGACTTATTCACTCCAAACTCCAAAGGTCAGTGAACTACCCTACTCGTGTCGCAGCCACATCCAAAACCGCAATTGATAATGTCGTAACTAACGTGCCCAACAGCCTTGTGACAAGAAGTACTCGCCAGACACTTCCTCAAAAGAGTACAGCGGCTCATTTGTGAGCTTGTTAAAAAGCTGCATGGAGAAAGTTTTCATGTCTACAACATGTTACCGCCTCAAAGGCGGCCTTGCTCGGGCCCATACTGAAGACATAAAACTTTCTCCATGCAGCTTTTTAACAAGCTCACAAATGAGCCGCTGTACTCTTTTAAGGAATTGTCTGGCGAGTACTTCTCGAACATATAATATACACCACAATCACTAGTTTTTCTATTTGTAAATATTGGTTTAACAAGAATGTTATTTTTTTACTTTTATTACTTTTAAAATTTATTTGACGCAGTCTATCCAACAAGTGTTGGGCAACGACATAGGAATTGGTAATTGGTAATTTTATAAATAAAAGATCCAATTTCCGACCTTAGTTAACACAGTGATTATATTTTATCTTTATTGATATTTTTCATTGACGTTAGCTATACAATGTATAATTGTCAAAGAGCAATAAAGATATTATTATTATTAATAACAATAATCCCGGGTTTTAACACGGGGCTACCAGCCCGGCCCATAATTAACTATTTCCATAATACTATCAGGATACACACACATATATAAAAAAAATACTAGCTCATAGTTAAATATAATTAAAAAAAACATAAAACAGAAAAAAAGCAAAAAAAATGTTTTTGTTCAAATTATGGTTGTTTATCATATATTATTTTATTTGAAAATAAAACAAATAATGGATTTATACGATGTACCTGTAAAAGATATTATAATAAGGTAATAGATATGAGTTTTCCCCTCAAATAGCTTGCAGCTAGAGAGGTATACAAGGCGCTGCAGTGTATAACAATAACCGCTGTGGTGGAACCTCGCCCTTTATCACATAAAAATATATAACCTGATAATTGTATTATGAGCATAATAAATATAAAAATCAATGATATTACGTAATAGCTTAAACAGCTACATAGAGTTTTTACATGCCTTCAAAAATAAACTATCGTGCAAGTAAGAAAACGGAATGGGCACACGGAAGGGACTAAGGCTAAAGGTGTAGTGACGTCATATCTCTATAGGTAAACCGTTTAGAAAACGACCTGCGCGAAATTTTTAGCGCATGTAGGGGAGGTAACGTTGAGGGAGGGTATGTTCCCCCTCTCCGCCAACGTCCGTTTTCACACTGCAGGATCTATTTTTTTCAAATTTTAACATTAGGCTTATGGGATTAAAGTAGCCATATGACAGTTTTTTGTTTACAAGAAAAATGTAAACAAGGGAATCATAAGGTATTTCCAAACTTTCTAGACTTTTCTTTTAAACGTTTTTAAACCATTCCTATGATTTAAATAAACAAGAAAATGCCGTTAAAACACTTTTTTAAGGCGCGGAACTCACTGAAAATCGAGAAAATATACGGAACTACTTTCTCAATAGAGCATAAACAAGGAGCGGAGATATACGGACCAGTGACTACTTTCTTGGGAACCTATTTGTGTTGCCAGCTGATCAGAAACAGCAAATGTTAGAAATCAGGACTTAATAAGCGATATATCGAACCGCATCGAAATCGATATTTAATCCGATAATACATCACAGGTTATATTATGTTGAATTACATCGACGGTGCAGTCAGCTATATTACACTTATTAATAAAACGCAGATTGAACACTGATCTAATTTAGGCATGTGGGGAAGGTAGGTCGGGGTTTATGAGTATTCATGACTACATTAAAAGTTTTGAAGTAAAGTTAGATTAGGGAGGTAAAGTGTAGGTTATAAGTAGGTGATCGAGTTGTTTATTTGTGTTGCACCATATAACTGGCTTTCACCTATCTGAAAGCAACCCTAGTTTACATTTTGATCAGCTGTATAATTTAATTGCTGTTAATATTTAAGCTGCAATTCAAAGAAATGCGTCCTACAAAAAACTAAATCTTTAGAAATTAATCACTGAAAGAACCCATGAAACATTAAAGTCATAGAACACCACCGAGTAAAAGAAATAAAGATAATATTTTTTAAGAATTTACTATCGTTATTAGCCTGTATAATGAAGAACACCTAGGCCTACAAGATTCACATTCCTACCAAAGATGAACGAGGATGTTAGCCGAAGTGCTACAATTTTTACTAGGAAAGATGGAAATGTGATCATTGCAGAGGAAAGCCCTATATGGGAAATTCGCAACAATAACTATATAACTGTATTCACAGTTCCGTTTAAGTAATGCCATTGACTAATATACCAACAGGTCAATGGTAATGTATAGTCAATGGTAATTCTCAATTGTGTTTACGCTAGTGACATCATTAGTTATGGTACATACCGTTTCTGTTTTAATAATCGTGATTTAACATCTGTTGACAAGCATTGTTGTGACGAGTCAGTACGACCCTGCGCTGAATCCTCCACGCGGACTCTCTTTTTATGTCTCGAGATTTCCCCCTTCATTTTGTTGAAAGTTGCAACAACGTTTATAATTGTTAATATTTAGTGATAGTTAGTGATAGTTTAGTAGGTAGGGATAGTTTTGTTCAGTTATTTTATAGTTACGGTAGCTATTTAATAGTAAATAGTTTTTTGAAATTGTGGTAGATTGGTATATGACCTGTGTTTGTTGACAAACGTAATGGCGACATCAAAATCTTCTTCTGTATCTGGTCGACCTCTTGGAGAGCAGGCAAGAGAAATTGTGTATAAAGTTGCAGAACACTTGAAAGGAATGAAGAAAGAACATGATTTGACATTTAATTTGGCCGAGGAAACATCAACAGCTACAGGTATTGGGCAAACCCTCGTAAAACAAATTATTCGTGAGGGAAAAAGAGCGATTGAAATCCGAGGACAGTTGACCTTTTCTACACCTACAGGCAAAAAGACTGAAAGAAAAAAAAGAATTGAAGTTGATGATTTTACTAAAGCCGCTATTAGAAGGAAAATACAGGAAATGTACATCTTAAAAAAAGAATTGCCTACTGTGAAGACACTCATTTCAGCTCTTGAGGAAGCAGACATTTTAACATGTGGAAGGACGTACTTAATATCTGTGTTAAAACAATTGGGCTTTAAATGGGTTAGATGCCAGTCTAGAAGAAAACTATTGGTAGAAATCCCTTCAACCGTTGATTGGCGAATTCGATATTTGAAAAAAATTAAGAAATGTAGATCAGAAGGCTTTCCAATTGTTTACATCGACGAGACTTACGTTAATGCGAACCATACAGTAAGTAAATGTTGGCAAAGTCCTGAGGAACCCGGCGTAACCAAGGCTGTTGGGAAAGGCGAACGGCTGATAATTGCACACGGTGGCGGTGAAAATGGATTTGTAAGGGACAGTTTGGCAATTTTCAAAGCACATCAAAAAACAGGCGATTATCATGAGTCCATGAACTATGAAAATTTCAATAAATGGCTTGAAAAACAACTGTTGCCGAATCTTGAAGAACCAAGCGTTATAGTGATGGACAATGCAAAATACCATTGCGTAGAGGAAGACAAAAAACCAACAAGTGGTTCTTTGAAGAAGAACATTCAAGACTGGCTTCATAAACACAACATTGACTATGACGAAAATTTTACCAAAGTAGAACTTTTGATGTTGGTGCAAAACGTCCAGAGGGAGCCGGTGTACAAAATAGACCAGCTTATTAACAATTTTGGACATCAAGTGCTGCGACTGCCACCATATCACCCCGACCTCAACCCCATTGAGTTGGTATGGGGAGCTATAAAAGGACAGGTAGGCTTAATTTATGTTTTATTATTGTCATATATTTTATAAGTGTATTAAAATTGTTTTCATAACTCCAATCCGGTTGTCGAGGAAGAGGCAATATGAAAATAGGTGGAGTGCGTTTAATATATTTTTTTTAAAGTACTTTTTAACACAACAGTATTAAGCCAACTACACATAACCTTTTACGGGAATTCCTATATTAATATAGCATTATAACACATAATTGGTTTGAATTATAATAACAAGTTATAGTATTTAGTATAATTAATAATTATAGTACGTGTAGGCTTAATATATATAATTGTAACAGTATAAAAACCAATGTAAAATGTAAAGAAATTACGTGTTCGTATGGGATTTAAAAAGTATTTATGTATACAGGTTGCTAAAGATGTAGCTGCAAAGACATTGGACCAAAAAATGAGACTTTGTGACAGTCTGTTTACGTCATACACTGCAGAAGAATGGAAGAAATGTTGTGAACATGTCAAAAAGGTCGAACAAGATTACTGGGAAAAAGACCATATAATAGACAATGAAATCGACAGACTGATAATTTCAGTAAACCAAAATGAATCTGAGGATGACAGTGATATCAGTGATTTCATTACCGATTCGGAATAGAGATAATATTTAGATCGTCGACATTTGGTTTCCACTATTAATTAAGGTATGTCGTTTATTTTATTCTCAAACTGAAAATTATACAAATTAATTTGTATCAATATCATTCAATATGATGCATACTGTACATATGGTTCACATTTATCAAAGCTTAAGTTCTTCCAATAACTGATCAACAAATATATCTATAAAGGTAGTCCGTGAGAATCATTAGTCTATTCTATTATATTAGTGTTCTTAAGCTATTTATATTTATGTGTGTTGTGTTACCTAACGATGGACTTAGTCCCAAAGAATTATTGTAGTTCAAAAGGAAATAATTATTGTATTCAACGAGAGCGAGGTGAAGGTCCGGTAGCAGTACGCGAGTACACTGCACTCTGCAGGGTTGTGTTTGTGTTGCGTTGTGTTGTATCACTGCGCGGTGTTCGGGAAGGTTGGGGGTTGGCGGCAGCGGAGTGGGGGAAGAGCCATAGTCTGTCTCACTCCCACAGCTCGGTATCTCTCTCTCGCACCAATGCTACGAGGAGGACGCTTTCTAAACGGTTTACCTATAGTGGTTAATGTCTTCTCTTGAGGCGACACGATTACCGTAACGAAACGATGTGATTTCAGCGGCGATCGTGGCATAGTCGGTAGCGTTTCGGATTGATGTTCAGGAAGCCTGGGGTTCGAAACCCGCCGGCAGTACTATCTTTATTGTTAACAAATTTTTCATATCAGCAAGTTTGGTTGGTTAGGTTAGGTTATGACAGTTTCATTTTATAATACTAAATTTTAAAATTAATTTTATAATTAATTAAAAATTATAAGTAATCATTAATTAGATTTTTATCTCATATAGTTTTTATATTATCAGCAGGTCTGGTTGGTTAGGTTATGTTATGACAGTTTAATTTTAAAAATTAAAAATTAATTTTATAATTTTAAAACAATATTTTATAATTAAAAAGTTAATTTTATAACAAAAAATTAAAAATTAAAAATTTATTTAAATTTTTTCAACTTAGCAGTCCTAGCGGCGAACGCTGACACTACAAGATATGTTAGCCTTAGTCCCTCCCGTGTGCCCCACCGGTAAGAAAACAAACAGACTATTATAAACACAAAAACAGAACAGACCACAGACTACAGAGTGTCAGTGACCAACCAGTATACGTTCAGACGAATAATAATAATTGCAGAATATAATATCGTCGTAATAGCCTAACTTATCGAATCTAAATAGAGAAAATGGATGAAGTTCAAAAACTCGAATATCTATCATTAGTATCAAAAGTCTGTACAGAGCTAGAAAATCATCATGGTTTGAATGACAAGGATTTGGGTAAGTAAATTAATTTAAATAACATTTACTTGATCTTATGCAAGTGTCTAATCTAAAGTAACTTAGTAAGTTAATTTAACTTAATGCAGCGCTAAAGCTTTTAGGTTAGCCCAACAACGTAGATCCTAACGAAAGAGCCTAGAAATCATTAAAACTTAACGTTAGGCCTTGACAAAATTTTTCTGAAAACGTTATGAAGGCTACTTCCAAATATTTTAATTACTAGCCTACATTCATTAAATGGAAGTTATTGTCTTATTCTGCTGCTTAGGCCCAGGCCTTCCCTTTGAAATTTAATTCCAGTTTCTTTTCTGTTTGTCACTAAGGCAACTTAATTGCACTGTAAGTTATAGGAGGTTGCGAAATTTAATTCCAGTTTCTTTTCTGTTAGTCGCTGGGGCAACTTAATTGCGCTGTAAGTTATAGGAGGTTGCACCTGGTGATTCTTTAAACGGATAATCTTTAAACTAGAATATCCAGACAGTTTGGATAGCTTAGATGCACAAGATTATCCATAACCCTCCGAGTGTCCATAGTTTAGGCCCTAATGTCCGCCTATTTTTGGCGCATTTGCAAGGTTTTATTAAAACGGATCTGAGAAGCTTAAAACAATGTTAATTCTACTGTTCTATATACCATTTTGTTTGGAAAATCATGGGCTTCAATATTATACATAAAACATAAGGAACATTTGTTTCAAAAAAAATTTTTAGGTAAAAAAAAATATTTTGGAAAATTTTCAAAAGAAAAATAAGTTCGCCCTCAATGAAATTGTATAAATTATAGGCCTATAAATATTTGAAAATAGCCACTTTGTTCTAAATTTTATGAGGATTACAAATATATAATAGGCTAATATAAGGAAGTAGATTTGCAAATAAATAAGTTATGGGCAAAAAACAGATTTCAGTACATAGCATTTGGCTAAGAATGCATAGCCTAACCATAGCTAGGAATCTGGCTGATAATTTACATCAATATCACTACCTACTTCTTCAGGATCATCAACCAGCCCTTCAAAATCACTTAAATCTTCTTATAATGCTCCACGTATATCACTACTTTTGATTTTTAACACTAAAACAATGATGAACGTAATAAAACACATCAGTCATCGGTCCGAGGGTAACCTAGCTGTTTACAAGTACGCACGTCAGCTGTCTGCTACAATTACGATCGGCTCGGAGAACATAAAGTGCTTAGAGACAGACCTCTGGAGAAAGCGTAGAATATAACGAAAAGAACGATAAGTTTTTACCTAACTCGATCGAGTTCAATCCAATGTAGTCAGTCATAGAGCCTTCGCCGTAAACGATGTTCGTGCGTCGAAAAATCGACGCGTGACACTACACAAAGTGTGTAGCGCGTTGATTTTTCGACGAGTGACGCTCGGAGAGTTAAGTTAGTAGGCTACTTAAGTTAGATGATTAACTTAACTTAGGTACTTCCATTCCCATTTAGTGAATTGCCTAGCCTAGGTTTAAGTTACGCCTAACTGAGGTAGGCCTACTATCTATTTGCTATGGTTACTACAGTGACATTTGTGCCTCCTTCCCCTTTCTTTACAACTATTAACTTAGGTAATTGGATAGGCCTAACTTAACTTAGCCTATGTGTCTTTGTTTCATCAAACACTGATTTAAAATGGAAACAATCTTGAACTAGACTAGATTATCTTGAGCAGCATAGACGATGGGCATAAAACTTAATTTACACACTTTGGAGTGAGAGTGTAAAGCGAAGGAAGTACATCCTATGATCTGATATAACTTTAGACAATTGGCCTAGTTATGAAAAGATCTTTAAAATATATTCTTTTGTATGATAGCCAGCAAAGCAACACTCCTGGGTTGTCATAACCCTAACTTAAGTTTTCAGCAATTTTCAGGGAGAAATTGGATAGGTAAGTTAAGTTTTAAACGCTTTTCTTTAAAAAGTGCCCCAGGAAATAAGCTAAGTGCTAAATATGAGCCAAATAAAGCCTATAATGAGAAATGTTTTTCAAAATTACTTTGTAAGTTACTTAGTATAGTGGCCTAATATGAAACTTAATAAATTACCCAGTACCTAACTTTTTTCGCTGTAGGCCTATTCAGTTGATGCACTAGAATTTAAGACTTTTGCTTTAGGTATGGTGTAAAACATGCTTTTTTATGTTGCGATTAAAAACAAAACCCTTAAACTGAAAGATCATTTGAAAAAGAAATGAACTCACTAAAAAAGGTAACATTAAAAAACTGTTGACACAGTGCAGCCGTGTTTTTGAAAGTATTTTTTAGGTTATACAAGCCTGCCAAGAACTTGTTTACTTTTTTTAGTAGGATGTTAAGTTAGTGTAGGCCCTAAGTAATGTGTTTTGACGTTAGGCCCTATCACCACAGAAAACGTACTACTATAACCCAGAATGCCAACCGCATGGTAAAAAGCATTAAGCGGTTTGAGAGAGCTTTGCCTGTCAATCCGTAGGCAGTGCCACGAGCGTTGCCATTCAATAGCATAGCAACGCTGGTGGCGCTGCCTACGGATTGACAGGCAAAGCTCTCTCAAACCGCTTAATGCTTTTTACCATGCGGTTGGCATTCTGGGTTATAGTAGTACGTTTTCTGTGCTATCGCCTAATAAATTGTTATCCGCCCAAATATGTAAAATATAGGCCTAACTGTAATTTATTTGTTTCAGCTGAGTTTATAATCAACCTAGCAGAGAAGAATGACACTTTTGATTCTTTCAAAAAAGTACTCTTTGAAAATGGGGCAGAATTTTCTGTAAGTTTTACACATTTTGTCACATTATAACTTAGTTGTTCGCTTTACATTTTTCAAAACGCTCACAAACCTGTTTAAATGTTGAATAAGTTAAAGCTAAGCTTCCTCTAATGTATGCCTTCTGGCCCAATGATGCATAAGTAACTTAAATAATTAGCCTAAGTCCTATTCCTGTAGGCCTATAAGTTATTTAGTTAACACGTTCACTGTAGCTATGATGTCAAAACCTACCCCTCCCATCGTTGAAACTGAAACAGTCAGTGGGATGCCAGCATTCGGCAGGGGAACGTTGTTATTGTCGCCCTGTGTAGAGCCGGTTTCTAACGTAATTTTTGTGCAATTCGGTTTCGGATTAGCTAAATTTTGTTATCTGACTGCATTTGTTGACAGTGCTTTTGAACAGTGTAGTTGGGTTTTGGTTTAGATTTAGTGGACAGAAGAGGATATTTAAAATGTCTGCATGTAGTAGCCTAGTCCTATTGTGGAAGGAACCTTACCTTAAAATGTGTCCGACACGTTTTTTTGCGTTGTTTAAAATTGTTTGATGGTGTATCCAGGAACTTTGCCCGGCTGCTT